CACACACACACACACACACACACACACACACACACACACACACACACACACACACACCCCCACCCACCCTCTGGCATCTTTATTCTACTCTCTACCTCCATGAGACCAACTTTTTAAGCTTGGTCCCACATATGAATGAGAACATGCAATATTTGTCTTTCTGTGCCTGGCTAATCTCACTTAACACAATGACCTCCAGTTCCATCCATGTTGCTATAAATTACAGGATTTTATTCTTTTCATGGCCAAATAGTCTTTTATTGTGTTTATATACTATATTTTTCTTCATCGATTTATTTGTTGTTGGACACTTAAGTCAATTCCTTATCTTTGCTGTTGTGAATAGTGCTGCAATGAACATGGGGGTGAAGGTATCTATTTCCTATGCCGATTTCTTTTCCTTTGGATAAATGTCAGTAGTGGGATTGTTGGATCATATTAAGTTCAAAATATTTTGAGAAACCTCCATACTGTTTTCTATAGTGGTTATACTAATTTACATTCCCACCAATAGTGGATAAGAATTCAGCTTTCTCTGCATCCTTGCCAGCATCTGTAATTTTTTGGCTTTTTAATAACAGCTGTTCTAACTGGGGTAAGGTGATATCTCATTTTCATTTTGATTTAGATTTCCGTGATGATTAGTGATGTTGAGCATTTTTTCATTTATCTGCTGGCCATTTGTATGTCTTCTTTTGTGAAATATGTATCCATGTCCTCAGCCCACTTTTCATGAGTTTACTTGTTTTTTAAACTATGGAGTTGTTTGAGTTCTTTCTATATTCTAGATATTAGTGTCTTGTCGGATAGTTTGCAAATATACTCTCCCATTCACTCTGTTGATTATTTCCTGTGCTGTGCAGAAGCTTTTTGGTTGAATATGTTTTCTTATAGAGCTATGTTAAATAGATGTTCACATTTTCATTGTGTGAATAGATAGCTTTGATAGCTTTCCTTTGCTCAATTATCAGAGACACAGCTAAAGACTCTGTATTGTCAGTACAGCCATAACCAGAATAACACTTCCCTGCTTGCTTATTCAGGCACTTCCTTTGCTTAACTTTGTACTTATAGTACATGTTAAGATTACAAAGTCAACTGTGCTGCTTGCAAAGTTCCCAGATATTTTTTTTTAATGAAATCTGGATTTTAAAAGATTTATAATTACACTGTTAATTTTTTTGCATTTTGAAATTTAGCATTAATATTCCCATGGGCTAGAGGGAAATCTGAAGAAAGTTTTCTTGATACGAAGAGTGAAGGGAGATAGTTTACTGTACATCATGAAATTTTTTTAAATTCTGATGAATATTACAACTTGCCAATGCCTTTCTGTGAAGACTCTGTTATCTTAAACTGATGTAAAGAATATTTTGTTTATGTGCAATATTTTAACAGATATTTTGAGTTTTGCTATTTCTCTTAGTCATATTCTAAATTAGTCATCCTTCATAATTCTGTAAGTGGTTAAAGCAAAGTCAAGAGAACATAAAGCCTTATCTTCAACTAGTTTGGGCTTAATTGTTAACAGAGCTTTTATAGAATTGACTCTTGGAATCCCTGGTGGGTGGAGAGCCTATCAAATAAAATAAAAATGGATTTCCACCTGCTGTTATTAATTATGGTTAGATACTATCCCTATTCAGATGAGTGTGAATCCTAATTTAATAAAGCTTGCTTTGTTATTGTCTTTTGCTTATATATTATCTGACCGGCTTCAGTGGTATTGTTCAAGCCATCCTGACCAAATTTTGCAAGTAAAATCTTGTGACTTACAGCCTCAAGTGATTGGCTTATAATTAAATAGAAAACCCTCACTGAGCTCCTTTGAACTACTAATTTTTTTAGACTATTGAAAAGTTATTATTACTACTATCAGGTTTTTCTGGCATAATTCCTTATAAGCTGTGGCAGAGTGATCATAATGTCATCATCTTGCAACTGAAACTTCTCTTTTTTAAATACTTGATCATTTTATTAAACATTACTATGAGATTTTTATTATTTAGTTATTGTGTTGTTGGTTTTTTTTCTGAATTGAATACTGCATAAAGGTATATAAAGGCTTTACTATGGTGGTTAAAAGCCTAGTCTCTGACGTTGAATTTCCTGAGTTTGAATCCTCGCCTACTTTGCTCTGTGACCTTGGACAATTTATTTAACTGCTGCGAACTTCAGTTTCCTAATATGTAAAAGGAAACTAATAATAGAACTACCTAATAAGGCTGTTGTGATGATTAAGTGTAGATAGGTAGGTAGATAGATCATCTATCTCATGAGTTACTTATTTGTTTAAAATAAATTCCAAGATGTTTTATTTATTTTTTGATTCCTGCAAATGTTCCTTATTCTGGGTTTGTCTTTGTCTTTCTAGGGCTAGGGAAAACCATAGGATATTTGAGTATTAAGATCTTGTATCTAAATATATATAGGTTTATTCATATCTTACCAATTGTCTTGTAGCCCCAACTTTAATTTAGGTGTTTGGGAAGGGAAGGAGATGGCAGTATAAGGAAAATTAAGACATGACCTCAACTTTTGATAGATGGTTTAATGAAGACATTTAGTCTGACCCACTCCCTTGGCCACCAGAAAGAAGCCTTCCCTCACTTTCCAGTGAAGTCAGGCTCTGCAGGAATAGACTCCCATGGCACTCTTCTCTGTCATGAAATAATTGTTTGATTCTCTTTGTTGAATGCCTTTCTTTTCCTACTAGATTATATGCTCCATGATGCCAACACTTTTTCCCCCACTTTTAAAGTTCCTAGCACATGTCTTGCTCAAAAGTATACGGCACATATTTGTTGAATGATTAAACAAGCTCTCATTCTGGAGCGAAACAAAATGCGATGCATATAGTACGTGACTAATCCCAAGTCACATGTTTTCTAAAAACAGTTATAACTAGAACTTAGGTTTCCAGTATCTTGGACCACAGTGCTCTCCACTCTGTCTACTACATTATGAAACGTTAAGGTCTAGAGAAGAGTTAAGTAATATCTCCAAATAACAGTATGATAGATGCAGAATATACATATCCCAAAGGGCTATGGAAAGTGAGAGGCAAGTATAAGTTCTGTCAGTTGTTGGATGGTAGGTTAGTTGTTGGAAAATTTAATGCAGGAAGAGACATTTGAGTTGGACTTTTAAGGACAGATAGATTTTGGATAGAAAAGTGTAGAAAAGGTTACTCCAGCTATAAATAGTATTTTATATAATTAGATGTATAATTTTAGTCTTGATATCTTTAATGTCATTATTTTAATAAGTCTTTAAAATATACATATGTTACTCAGTTGATGATCTTGTTCTATTTCAGTGAACAACGTGGGAATGTCATATGAGTATCCTGAACACTTTTTGGACATTCCTGACTTGGACAATGTAAGACTTTCTTTGTATGTTATGGTAACAAAAAGAATGCATGCAGGTTTTGGTATGACAATTCATACTGTGACTGAAGTCCAGCTGCCTGTGGTTCACACCCTGGCTCTTCTGCTTACTACCTGAGCTCCCTGGGTGTGGGCCTCACCCTACTTAGTCTCAGTTTACTTGCTCATTAAATGGGCAGCTTCATAGAGATATTAGAAGGATGGAATGAGGAAACCATTTATAACCTCACTTATACAGTGCCAGATTCAATAATAGCTCTAGTTTTGTTATTATACTTATTTTTGTTTGTGTTATATCAAAACAGCTGTTTTAAGTTTTAGGATTCTAAACATCAACTTAAACATTGCAAATATGTTAATACACAGCAACATGGTTGATTCAGATAAATCAGCTCTACCAAAATGAAAGTGACATCCTTGATGCATGCATAATCCTTTACTGAAAATGAGAAAAGCATATCATTAAAGGACTATGTAAAATTTTAAAAATTATTGCAAATCCTAGGTTCAGTGATTTCTACACTCTATACTAGCAGAAAGAAAATTGCAAAGTATTCTATTTATTTTAGATTTAATGTGTCTTTTTACTTCCAGATTTTACTTGCACGCATACTTTGGATTCTGCATGTTAGCATCAGTTATCACCTTAGTTAGGAAAATGTAACACTGAGAGTAAAATAAATTCTGTCTCTACCCCAACTCGTGTCATTCTTCCAAAATCTCTGCACTATCTGGGGAAATGTTCAGTGCTTCTCTAGATTACCTAAGTAGATATATAATGGGGTCATTTTCATGATCAAGTATATATAAAACTCTCAATTTTTTTTTTGCAGATGATCAAGAAAATGATAAATGTTAATATTCTTTCTGTTTGTAAGGTAAGCAGCTTCTTTATAAAGATGTCATCCTTTTTTGGTTCTTTCTATTTAAAAGCACTGACATAAACAGCTTGTTCACCTGAGTCTACTCTTGTTTAGATGTAGATACATACAGTCCAGATAAAAGTGGTCTTAAGTTATTTTTTCAGAAAGTATAAAGGACTGAAGACCAAGCAGGTGCCTGTATTATTTTACTTCTCATTTATTTTATTTTTTAATTTTTTATTTCCATAGGATATCGGGGAATAGGTGGTGTTTGGTTACATAAGTAAGTTCTTTAGTGGTGATTTGTGAGATTTTGTTGCACCCATCACCTGAGCAGTATACATTGCACACAATTTGTAGTCTTTTATCCCTCACCTCCTTCCCACTGTTTTCCCCTGAGTCCCCAAAGTCCATTGTATCATTCTTATGCCTTTGCATCTTCATAGCTTAGCTCCCACTTATGAGTGAGAACACAGGATGTTTGGTTTTCCATTCCTGAGTTACAGTTTCATTCACGTTGCTACAAATGCCATTAATTCATTTCCTTTTTATGGCTGAGTAATATTCCATCATATATATATTTTTATTATATATCATTCTCCATTCATGGATTGATGGGCATTTGGGTTGATTCCACGCTTTTGCAATTGCAAGTTGTGCTGCTATAAACATGCATGTGCAAGTATCTTTTTTGTATAACGACTTATTTTTCCTCTGGGAAAATACCCAGTAGTGAGATAGCTGGGACAAATGGTAGTTCTACTTTTAGTCCTTTAAGGAATCGCCACACTGTTTTCCATACTGGTTGTACTAGTTTAAATTCCCACCAGCAGTGTAGGAATGTTCCCTGTTCACCGCATCCATACCAACTTCTATTATTTTTTGATTTTTTGATTATGGCCATTCTTGCAGGAGTAAGGAGGTATTGCATTGTGGTTTTGGTTTGCATTTCCCTGATGATTAGTGATGCTGAGCATTTTTTCCTATGTTTATTAGCCATTTGTGTATTGTCTTTTGAGAATTGTCTATTCATGTCCTTAGCCCACTTTTTGATGGGATTATTTGCTTTTTTCTTGCTAATTTGCTTGAGTTCATTGTAAATTCTGGATATTAGCCCTTTGTCAGATGTATAGGATGTATAGATTGTGAAGATTTTCTCCCACTTTGTGGGTTGCCTGTGTACTCTACTAATGTTCCTTTTGCCATGCAAAAGCTCTTTAGTTTAATGAAGTCCTAGCTATTGTATTTATCTTTGTTTTTATTGCATTTGCTTTGGGGTTCTTGATCATGAAATCCTTGCCTAATCCAATGTCTAGAAGGGTTTTTCCAATGATATCTTCTAGAATTTTTATAGTTTCAAGTCTTAGATTTACATCCTTCATCCATCTTGAGTTGATTTTTGTATAAGGTGAGAGATGGGATCCAATTTCATTCTCCTACATATGGCTTGCCAGTTATCCAGCACCATTTGTTGAATAGGGTATCCTTTCTCCACTTTATGTTTTTGTTTGCTTTGTTGAAGATCAGTTGGCTGTAAGTATTTGGGTTTATTTCTGGGGTCTCTGTTCTGTTCAATTGGTCTATGTGACTATTTTTATACGAGTACCATGCTGTTTTAGTGACTTTGAAATCAGGTAATGTGATGCCTCCAGATTTGTTCTTTTTGGTTAGTCTTTTTTTGGCTATGTGGTCTTTATTTTGGTTCCATAATGAATTTTAGGATTGTTTTTTATAGTTCTGTGAAGAATGATGGTGGTATTTTGATGGGAATTGCATTGAATTTGTAGATTGCTTTTGGCAGTAGGGTCATTTTCACAATATTGATTCTACCCATCCATGATCATGGGATGTGTTTCCATTTGTTTGTGTCATCTATGATTTCTTTCAGCAGTGTTTTGTAGTTTATTAAATGCTTTCTGTTTATTAAATGCCTTCTACATGTAAGCACTGTGGTAGGCGCTGGGACTACAAAAACAAGACTGGTGATTTATTTGTACAAAGATTTCATCCACATGCTATTTGTCACTGATAAATTGTTTCCATTTTGTCTTCCCCAGGATTCTTTTAAGTTGAGGAATTTAAATGTTGTGGTAAAGCATTGTATGGGAATATGGAACTATAAAGTAATGAGTGTGATTTTCCATAGCCACTCATAATAACTCATCTGGTTGCTAGTTGCTATGCATGTGTTATAGTCATGTCACATGTATGTGCCAACAAAAGACAACAAGCCAATACCTGCCAAAAGAAGGAATACTTAGCAAGTATGAGCATCTCAACACCATTTTTTCTTATATTGTATTAGTAACTACAAAATTGTGCTATACCTTGGTTATACATACCAGAACGGTGAAAAATAATTGCCTGAGGCAGGATTCTCATGGGCAGTGTCAGATACTTGAAATCTGAACATACTCATAGAAAGTCAAATCCATTTTCAATAACTCATATATACTAGTTTAAGGAAATTCAAAAACTGATTAACTTATTGTTTAACTTTGTTGTTATTAGCCAAGTTTTTTTTCTCATGTAAGATTCCGTTTAAGTGAGGTAAACTAATTACAAGTGGATCTGTGAGTGAGCCTGGAGCAAGACTCTCATGCACAAAATTGATGCTTTTAAAACATGGCTAATAGGAATATATCTAATAGTCCTAGATCATTACAAGGGCTCTCAAAATGTTATTGTTGTTCTTAAACTCAGAGCTGATACAGATTTTAATAATATTTAGAACTATGACTTTATTTTTTAGCAAGCAAAGGTTTTTGATCAAAATCCATATCACTTCTAGTCTACATAAAATATGTATTACCATACGTATTACCATACGTATTTTATGATGCATGTGTTTTTCTTGCTTATACTGAGAGAAAGGCATTCACCTTGACAAAATTTTGTATGTGACGCTCCCAGGTTTAGGGCTCTTTGGTGCTGCTGTGATTTGCCCTATAATATATTTGGATGAATTGCACCTATTATTCTTTAGTTGACTCTGTTATGTTGCCAGGGCCAGGGCCACATTTTCAGTAGCAATGGCTGTTTGGAGCCCTGGGGAAACTTAAAAGAAGATGAAAATTGGTGCAGCTACAGAATCACCAAAGGTTTTATTGTGGCTGGACATCAGGGGAACTAGGGCATGGATGTCTGCAGCCTAATGCCACAGTGAATTTCTCAGAAAAGGCCCGTGTAAGGAAGAGAACAACCTCTTCTTACCATCAATGTTGATCCAAGTTTTATTTCCTCACTAAACCACATGACAGGGAATAACTGGCTGAGGAGTGTTCCAGGAGAGATTGGTGAAATCAGCTTGGCCTTGTGACGTTGGACTTGTGTCCCTAGTTTGGAGATGTTTGCTGAGAAGGGCCCCAGTATCTTATTGTAAGGCCTGTACTGTGCCATGAACATTGAATGACCTGGCTTTACATTCCTTCAGATCTACGTATTTATGTCCTGGATCAGTAGGTCAGATGATTGTAAAAAATTATGTAAGTTCCACGTTTCAATAGAGGAATGATAGAAGTGAAATATCCTGACACCCAAGGAATTGCAGGTCACCACTGGATAAAATGGTAATGACGTGGCCAGAAAAATATTGTGGAAGAAATATTAATCAGAATAGTTTTGAATATAGACCCTTGATGTTTAATCATAAACAGCTCTCCCAGGCCACTTAGTTCTCCAGTTTCATCCGATTGTTTTACTTTTTAACCTTATCCAGTATTTTGAGTTTGTTCCTTTCTTCCCTCTCAGTGGCTCACTTCAAAGGACTTTCCCTTTACAAGGGATTTTAGAAGCCTTGTTGCCTGCTTTTCCAGTTTTACTCTTAAATCCTTCAGGGATAAATTTAGTCTTGTTCCTGTTCCCTGCCTGCATACAGTTAAGTGATATAGAAACTCTATATGTAGGTAACCAATATGGCAGGTAGATCAGTCTCAAACTGTAAGAGAAGTCCTATTAGATAGAGCTTTCTTCTGATTGCAGATGCTCTGTGACTAAAATCTAAGATACATCTTATTTCTTATCAAGAACAATGACCTTTATACCAGAAACGGTGGAGTTTAGAGACAACTGAACCTCAAGGTATTGAACCACACTTTTCTAAAAATAGTTTTATACCTGGAGGGATTTCCATCCCAGAATACTGAGAGTTTGCAAATGAAATTGTTAAGGTGATATTGATTGCTATTAGAGAAATCATGGAGAGTGGAAGAAGTGCCGCAACTCCAGAGGCAGACAAATGTCCGTCTCATTTCAAACGGGGTATATGCTGAGCTTCACGTCAGTCCAAAGACAGGTTCTAAAACAGATATGGTTGTACTGTTCATTTCTGATTTGAGATCACTTTTTCTAACAGCTACCAAATTTGGGGTTGCCTTCCTTTTCTGGGCCAGATTGTTCTTTGATTCTTTTAATCACAATTTTCAGACCTCAAGAGACCCTAGACTCTTCACTCCTTTTCAGTTAAGCACTGCCCAAACAGTGTTACCTGAACTGCTCGTGGCGCCTATGGAAAGATGTGGAAGCCATTCCTTCAGGTGATGCTGGGCCCTAAAACTGCTGCTGCACTTACTGAATGAGGTGGAAGCTAGAGATTGGCCCTGCCTATGGCTGAACCTCTTAGAAATGTGCAGGCCACCATTCTGACAAATAGAGAGGATGTTCTGACCTTCTTTATTACCTTTTTCTTAGCAGAGAAGGAAATGGATGGGGGTGTGGCCCAAAGTGAAATATATTAAGAACCTCCACATCCTGTGAAATACCATTGTGTTTTGTTGTTTGCTTTATTTGGGAATGGGAAAGAGCATCTCAAGCAGGGGGTTATATGAATTTCTTTTTACTTTTTTAAAGTTAGTTTGAGATTTAATGTTTTTATATTTAATTTTTTAATTTTTGGGGGGGTCAATATAATACTTAAAGCAGGAGCTTACAATTTAGTTCTTCCTTCATTAGATGCTCAACCAAGGTGGGGGCTTAAAACCATTTCTTATTAGGGGTGGGTGTGGGTGGGGGGCCTT